TGTTATCTTTATGTTATAGCTGTCAAGCTCGTGTTATCTTTATGTTATAGCTATCAAACTGGTGTTATCTTTTTGTTATAGCTGTCAAACTGATGTTATCTTTGTGATATAGCTGTCAAACTGGTGTTATCTTTGTGTTATATCTGTCAAATTGGTGTTATCTTTATGTTATAGCTGTCAAGCTGGTGTTATCTTTATGTTATAGCTATCAAACTGGTGTTATCTTTGTGTTATAGCTGTCAATCTGGTGTTATCTTTGTGTTATAGCTGTCAAACTGGTGTTATATTTATGTTATAGCTGTCACACTGCTATCTTTTATGTTATAGCTGTCAAACTGTTGTGATCTTTGTGTCATAGCTGTCAAACTGCTATGTTTTATAGCTGTCCGACTGGTGATACTTTGTATGTTTTATAGCTGTCCGACTGGTGATATTTTGTATGTTTTATAGCTGTCCGACTGGTGATATTTTTGTATGTTTTATAGCTGTTAGGCTGGTGATATTTTGTATGTTTTATAGCTGTCAGACTGGTGATATTTTTGTATGTTTTATAGCTGTCAGACTGGTGATATTTTGTATGTTTTATAGCTGTGTAACTCTTGTGAAATCTGGGAGAATATCTACCGTAGATACAGTGAGACTCCAATAACACCAGAGCTGGAAGAGCTAGCCAAGGATAAAAGTTGGAAACGTCTCTTCTTCACAAATAAACTCCAGTTACAGGTAAGATGCTTTATGAAGATCTAAATTTCTAAAAATGTTAACTTGTTTTACTCTTCTACATTATTGTCAGAACATTTTATTTCTCTCCATTCCCTGTATGTAAGATAGAGCTGCATGTCCCGGGTGAGAAACTTCTATCTTACACCCTATTTCACGTGACGTGACGTCACAATCGCTCAACAATGATGTGACGTCACGAATTTGGAAATCTCTGATGCTGCATTGCGGAAAAGGCAATATGATGAAATTAAAACCTTTTACGATATATTTTACGCATTTATTCATGTAAAATGACAAATTTCATGCAACCTTGAAATGTAAAAAGCCGCCATTTTGACTCCAGTGCTTAAGTCTGTGACCTCATGTTGTTGTGCTAGGCGTGACATCACAATCGAAACAATTGAAACTTACAACCAATCACAGGGTTGATAGGTCATATTACATGGGTTAATATGCTACAAAAATATGTCATTGGAATGGTATATTCACTGGATAACACAGTACATTATGTGATAAAACCTAGCTGATCTTGCTCAATTACAGGTGGTAGATTTTATTGATCTCACATTTACATGTATGTAGAGGTGGGAGAGGGACAAATCTATCTGGGTGAGACAGCCTAAAAAAATGTCAATCCTTTCCCTCTTTTATATATCATTCATACCATAGCCATGCATCTAATATTCTTTCAAGTATATTAAACACTCCGGCCTTCCAAGCAGGCGGCAGGGGTTCCATCCCCGAAGTCATCGTACGCATGGAATATCAGAGAAAGTGTTTTTCTCCTGCCCACACAACTCCATTAACCCAGGTGGAGTATAAAATGGTCTGGGGTGGATGTTGCGGTAACTGTGCTGTGGCATTCAAGTGAGATGGCACTATAAATGACACCATCGGAAGTATGATCCCATGCCACTACAAACAGAACACAATACATCTCCAGCACACACGCAGGCATACACACATAGTATAATATTAGCCAGGTGGTATAGGACTAGGAGTTAGCGCCTGATAAGGCAGCTCCTGCGAATTCCTCAATATTGTATTGATTAATGTATATGCTAATTGTATTAATTGTATATCTGTGTACTGTAAAGCGCTTTAGAGTGGCTTATGTTAGCTAGATAGGGCGCTATATCAAATGTTGTATATTTATTTATTTTACTTGTTTCTTTCTACTTTAGATGCAGCTTCGTCGTATGAAGCTGAACCCTGAAGACTTACCTCCTGCGGGAGGATATGCCTTCATCACACATCAGGAGGAAGAACAGGAACAGCAGTGACTGACATTTTAGATTGAATAGAGAAAAAAAAGGAAACAAGTTTATAAAAGTATGATTCGAGTAAAGTTGTTTATCGCAATATTAAAAATTGCTTAAAAAATTTAAGAACTTGACAGTGGATTTTTTTTTATATAGAAATATGAAATGTGCAATGATGGATCATTTTATCTGTTGAAAAAATTGAAACATCATTTTTTTATCTAAAAAATAACAAAATAACATCAATTTATGATTTGATAGTTTGACATTACTGAATTAGTAGAGTATTGAGGGATTGGAACTGTGATATTCTGTGTTATGTTTATTGCAAAAAAAATAAGTGCTTCAATACAGGATTTTCATTATAAAAATCCCTGTATGTAACGAAGTAGTTGTTATATCAATTACACTATATTTACCATAGCATATATATATTTTTCAGTTATCCAAAATGGGTGTCACAAAGTGTCTTCCCTGTATTTAAATGATTGATAAAAAATGCTATACACGAACAAATTTTGTGATTTATTAATTTTCCATTTAATAGAAATAACATATGTACCATTGTACTGTATGCTTATTTTTCATAGTTAAGGCAGAGGGTACCGAAAACTTTTTCAATATTATTACCATTGTTGTTATTGTGGAGAAAAAAAAAATCTTTTCAAAACATTTATTCCAAAAAAAATCACACTTTACCATGATATATATATATAATAATTATTGTTTGAAATTTGAATATATGAAAAAAGAAATGAAATAAAAAAGAACTAGTAAAAATTATAGAGATAGAACTTTGGACTTTTACAGTACGATTCCCACACTTTACCGATGTCACAATCCAGGTACTATACATTCACAGCCTCAAAATAAGTGCCTAATTTATTGGCTACAAAGGAAACACTCAACACTAAAAAAAAAAAAAAAAAAGCATAGAAGAAGTTACTTCAAGCCAGAAAAAGTCATTTTGGTTGCTTCATCATCTTTATAGAATGGAAATTTTTCAAGAAAAAAAAAATCTGAATGGAGCTCTTTGTGATTTGAACACAAACAGTGATACCCTCTATCTTCAGAAAAATAATCTGCAAATAACTGAAGTATTATATGTTGTACAATGGCCTGAATGTATTAGGGTTAACTGTCCATAACTGCCAAATATTTATGCAATGTATTTTGCTGTGTTTTTGAAACCGTCCACTGTATTTTACCAATGATAAGCCAATTCTTAATTTACACTCTGCAAACTATAAATTGCTTACATTACAGCATATTCATATAGGTACAAACACATGGTTATTTTTATATTATATTCAAAGTGAAATTCAGTCGATATACTTTACCCATGTGAACATTTCAAAGTGAAATTCGGTCAATATTCCGTCTTTGTGTATTGCAGAGTTATCTGCTCTTGTGAGTAGGTATTCATTGTTACGTCATTGGTTTGTGTGAGAAAATTACATTGTTTTCTCAAAAATTGATGACGTAACTCTCGCAAACAAATGACGTAACAATACGCAAAGACGGAATACTTCATCAATGTGAACATTAAAGAGATATAAAACAATATTTATAGTAAAGATATATTGACTACATTTAAACTAAGAAAATTGCTACAAACATATTCTTTAGGATGTTGCTAAGTCTACATATAATTTTGTGTGTATTGCCTTAAAGTCCCAGTTTCATTTACCTCTGAAGGCAAATGAGCTCTTCCAATTCAAAGGTTGTAATAGTTCATTATGAAATTTCAGGGGTGAATGAGTTAATTAAGGTTGGGTTTTTTCGTAACTCTGTAATCGCTTCCTATAGAAAAAAATAATTCAGGTTAAATTTTTTTATGAACTTTATTAACTTCATTTTATCTTTATCAGGGTAAAAACTAAATTTCTTTAGATTTTGTTCTTACACTTTTAATTACCGTAAACATTAAACAGTGGCCATGCATTGCATTCACAAAAATGTTTGTATCTGTTTTTGCTCAATTTTATTGTCAAGATTATTACAACGTTGATATAATACAATTACTACAGAAGTAAGATTTTACACACATATTTCAGTTCTGAATTTTTTCTTCAATTTTCTTCTTAATTATCTGATCCCTATACAAAAATAAGAGAACTTGTACTATTTAAAATTTAATTTTGCATGTTAATTTTATTCCAATATGTTGGAGTTTTATATTTTTCTGAGAAATAACTTATGGAATTTAAGTCTCCTGAAATCCATGCTGTGTTCAATTGCAGGAATGCATCCAAACTTAAATCCAAATTATGGTCCCAGGCGTACGAGGCAATGTCCTTATTTTTTTATTGTATTTCATTTATACATCAGGCTCCAGATCACCACATCTAAGCTTTAATTCCTCCATTCTCTAATACCACAATCTGTCATTCATCAAAAAGACAATCCTTAAACTTCAACAATTACAGTATAACAAATAAATGCCTTAGAAATAAATAGAGAAGATTAAAGTAAGTTTCTCTTCCTGACAAAGATCTTAAGAACATGGAGTTTTTTGTAGTAAGTACATAATGTATCAGAAAGAACTAATTTTAGTACAACACTTACACAGGAAGTACGCCAGTCTATCACATGTTTACTTCCTAAGTATTATTGTACTCGTTTGTACAGTCTTGTAGACTAGAACAGACCAGATAAATAATGATCATTGGTACCAATGTTGTAAATCTTAACTCATAATCCACATCTTTTCATATACTGTAGTATCCAAAAAAAACTACAGAGGCTGTATTTTAGAGATCAACAATTTTATTACTGTAATATAAACGGTCTATTTTGAAATGAATTTGTTTTAAATTTCTTCAGTTTGTATCTCTTGAAGTTTCAATATAGGCTTTACTTATAGAATATAACAATAAAAAAAAAGAAACATTTCAATGACCCTTGTATGGTCTGATAAGTGATTTTGCATAATTTTCCTTCGTATCAATTTTAGAGAACGGAGCTGCCTGATGTGTGTTATACAATTTCTGTAGATCTATACATATTACTGCTTGCCTTATATTTCTGATGAATGCTTATTATCAAAGAAGTGCCATTTTTGATTTTTTTTTTTACATGTTTTATGTTATTATTCTTTGAAAAAGATGTCATAGATCTGCTTTAATTGTTTTCTACTCTTGTATTGTTGTGTGCCTTCCAATTTTGAACTTGTTTACTAAGACTGAACTGTTAATGTACCAATAACTGCAAATTTTTGAAACATTGTTTCAGATGTCTGTTTTTCTTATAAATTGCTTTCTGTTTTCATCGTTTTCTTTAATTTTCGCATTTTTATTCTAAAATTGCTTAAATAAACTTAAATAAAATTACACCATTTTTTTTCTTTCTTTCAATTTCTATCAAAATTAGTTAATCAAATAAGGAAATGCAAACAGACAAACAAAAACTAAATAAAAACAAGTATTTGTAAGTGGTTTAAGTGACTAACTTTCAAATTATTCTGTACTAAAACATTAAATTAAACCGTCAATCTCCGGAAGGACTGTGACCAAAAACTGTCCCCTCACAAATTCTCTACCTGCTATTTCTAAACGGTAAACCTCTAATTTGATATTTTTGTCCAAAACATGCTTTCTGAATGACACAAAATATGTGTGACTAAGGAAAATACTGCTACTAGTTTGAATCACAACTATTAAAGGTTTTTTTCCGCTAAGAAATGTGCTAGTATTTAAGTTGTTTTCCAAGACAAAAAGTTGCTGGTGTAAACAACTTAAACTCTGTCCAGAAGTCCAGTGCGTCTTATAGAATAAGTCCAGTGCGTCTTATAGAATAAGTCCAGTGCATCTTATAGAATAAGTCCAGTTTGTCTTGTACACATTTATCTATATTTAAATATATCCATTTGACTTAATTTTCAGACTAATAACAAATAACTAAATTATAAAATATCCTTGCTCCATCAATGATTAGACGCCTTGAACGAAATATAGTCATACATTAAATTTAGCTAGCACTCCTCATTATCCATTTTTATCCCAATATTTTCGATTTGTACGATGAAAGTAATCAAGGAGTTGCCCCAGCTGAAGTCATTATCAACATCAACCTACCAAACCTAAAGAAACTTGCCAAAACATTCTCACAAAGTTTAGTCTCTTTTTCATTTTATTTACTGATTTCTCTAAAATTTATCTGTCATATATATATACAAAATCTCTTCCTTGCCACCATATTTTTTATTTTGATTATATTTTGTTTACTGTTTGGGACATTTTTATGTACAAAATTCCTGCATATAAGTATGTATAGCCAAGAGGTATTAGTTTCTATTGTATGATATATGTTAAGAATATATATGTAATATGTATATGATAATTGACTTTAATTTTCTTTGAAAAAGATCAGAAACCTTAGGTTTTACTAAAAGAGTGTCAGATATATATAAATAGAAATAAATTCCATGAACAAATTCATTGTTGGTATCTGAAGGTTTCATAGCTTGTGTAGCTATACTGAGGCTGAGGCTTGGATTCAGAATATTTCACTGAATTAATTATTCCAATATAAATACATTCCATACTTTTTTGACTGTGATGCATGAATATTGCTAAAAGATGCAACAGATCAATTTCTTTTCTGTAGCTTTATGATATCTGTAGTATTAATATATATAATTTTACATCCTCATTGAGAAACAGTATTTTGAAGTTTATTTTATTATTTTCTGATACAGTTAGACGCTATGTTTGCCAGTATTTTCAATTTCTCAGGAGAGTTTGCTACATTGTGGTGTAACAAAAATATGTGATTTTAAAATCTAATTAATAATTTAAAATAAAAGTTTCTCTCATTTGCGTTGACATTTTGTAACAATTAACATACACTTCTCACGGTAAGAACTCAAAGACTTTAGACTAATTATACACAGACTGACAGTTTTTAACTACATGGTATACTATGTACTAGAGCAGCCCTGTGCAAATCCATATACATGTACAAGTAGAAGGTTTTTATAGAAATGAAAATTTTGAAATGAAGGTAGGAATCAAATCATTTAAGTCCCTGTTATGTATAAGGCCTGAAGATTGAACTAATATGAAAACATAATAAAAAAGAAACGATTCTTTATGTAAATCTGTACTTACATAGACTTTACAGACTATACCATAGTCAACAACCATTGTATCTTTATATTTTTATTTTGTAGTTTGAAGAGTTGATTTTAACCTATAAATAGTTATATATTTGTTCCGTAGATGATATTATTTTTGTACGGCCTTTCCTTTTAGTTCTTACTGTATTTAGTATACTGTACATCGGGAGGGGTTTAATTTTTGCCTTGTTCGCACACCGTAGTAGAGGCAAATTTATCATTACAGCGAATATAAGTAAACAGCATAATATACCAGGTACATGAAAGGCAAAATTTGATTCCATGGGCGAAGGGCGAAATTTGATATCATGAGCAATGGGCAAAAGTTTGACTGGGCGAAAATTTCCTGGTGTACAGTATCTAATTCTGACCATGCTCTCCAATGATCAAATCATTTGTTGAATTGGGGTCTTCTCCCAAGGTTTGCACAGGTCGACTTTAGTTTGAAATTGGTGTTTATCAGTATTGTGTTTAACGACATGGTGTTTATCAGTATGGTGTTTGACGACATGGTGTTTATCAGTATGGTGTTTGACGACATGGTGTTTATCAGTATGGTATTTGACGACATGATGTTAACCAATATGGTGTTTACTAGTATTGTGTATCTAAAAAGTTATATGTATCTATTGTAGAGTTGATTGAATTTTATGACATTAAACTTTACACTAAAATAACAATTTGAATCTCTTTTGTTTCATTATTTTTATAAAATGTATTCTCAGGTCTTTCCATGGACACTTTTATAGTTTTTTAGCTCATCTGACCCAAAGGGCCATGTTCTTCTTTTGAAGAACTGTAGGACCTAGGG